AAGGAGCTACAAACAAAAACTTAATGATTTTACAGAATATAATCTAAATATGATCTCTTTTGTCTGTGCACATTTTCAGCCCAGAATCACATACATCAATGTGGAGAAGAACACATTTGATACAAATGACTGGTATGTGTGGTTTGTCATTGCTGTGGGCAGCTTCCTTCTCCTGGCCATGTTGGCTTACCTGCTGTATAGGTGCTGTACATACCTCTCAACTAAAGAGCACCTCTGCTGTGAACCTACACTGATAGAAGACACAATGGAACTGTGAGTAAGCTGCTACATTTACTTTATTAGAGTGTACTGATTGTATAGCATTGCTGTCAAAACCTTGTAACTCCATTTTATTATCTTTTATTTTGTCACACCAGTTTCATGATGAATGGGCCAATAGAAATGGTCCAAAATTACCTGAAATAAAATCCTGCTGCATGAACATACAATAGAGTTACGAATGTTGTTTCCTTCACGTTTAGAATACATATTGATGGGGCGCATGGGGAAAACTCTTTTTTGTAATTTTATTTCATTCACACTGGTCCTCACTGTTACTGGTTGACAGTTTTCTTCATCTAATTCTTCTATTAATATGTTTCATGAAATAATCACCTACTTAAATGAAGCTTCGAAATTCACAGTTTTATTTTGGCTCTTACCGCCTAGTTCAGTCCACTGCTGCTCCTATAAAACCACTGACATCTCATGAATTAAGCAAGCAATTTGCCATATCCCAATAACAAAATCTACCAAATTTGACTGTAAAGTGGGCAGCTACGTGGTTTTCAGTTAATGACATGTAAATAGTCACAAAACGTACAAGCCCAATGCCACTTGTGAACATGTCCACTGAGGAGACACTTCAGTTCCAAAGATTTTAGTAACACTGAGATTAATAACTGCATCGAGACACTGATTTATCAGTCTACTCAGGCTTTAGCAGGAACTTCAGTGTTTGTAAAGAAGCTGCTTTTGAGTTCTTCTTTACATTATGTCTTTACATGCCATGCTCTGATTTTAAAATAGTTAATAAACAAGACTTGATGGTGTTTCTTTTTAAAAACTGATATGTATTTTTTACATTTAGTGGATAAGTATTCTAAAACTACTCTCCTAAAAATGTAACCAGTAACTGTATTCTGAACAGTGACTTACTGAATATTGACTGACAAAATGTAACTTAGACTGAATACAGATACCTAATTTCTGTATGAATATGTATTCACAATTGTTATTGATATTCCGTAACATCCCAACACTGTGCATCCTTAAACATAACAGTGTATAGTGACAAAGGTCTGTTGTAAAACTAATGTTATAGACAGCTTGTCTTACAAAAGAAATGATATCTGCATTTAACATTTCATGATAATTATGCAGTAAAGATGTAGTAATCTAATATTTACTGTTTTTCCCCACTTCCGCAGCATTGAAGACAAAGGTAGGTGCACAAAATGTATATAATGTATACCAAGCCAGCATGCAAAGCACACTGTTATACAATAATTGTTGTCTTCAATTCACTCAACAGATCCACCCAAGCAAGAGATATTAATGGTGAGTTCTTGTATTCTGAATGGATTTTCTTTCACATATCTTAATGATGTGATATTAATCTGCTTCTCTTTTCATAGGAGGTGACAAATATCAACACCGTCTTTAATGGAGAGGAGGTAGATCCTGGTAAGGCGGCTGACATTTCCAGTCACAAATAGCAACCTTTCTGTTATTGTTAGTAAATGGTAGTTTCATTATTTTGCATGAAACAGCCTATAATGGAGATGTTGAAGGCATGTCCTTTGTGTATCTGCCTAAGACTGTGTTGTTTGGCATCTGTCAAACAACACAGTACATATGTTATCATCTTTTAAGGTCTGTTCAGATCCAATCTGTTTAATTCTGCTTTTTGTCCAGTTTCAAAAAGGGTGTACGAGTATAACAGCAAGTCAGGTGCTCGACGCTGGAAGGATGCCATCATTGTTTCTGAGCCTGCACTGATCCAGCCAGAGAGCAGCACTCTGGTCATCTCTGACAGGCCAGCTAATGCTGAGTCACCACCACGCTCTGGCCAATCAGAAAGCAGCACTCAAGCTCGCTCTGACCAATCACCAGCAAGCATACAGCCCCACAGTGGTTCTGATCAGTCCAATGTACAGAGAGTTGTTAGGCACCAGTCATTCAATGCAGCCAAATCAGCTCACAAGCCTGAGTTTCTGTGATAGCAAATGAGATGTCTGAGTCTTTCTGTACTCAATCTGAAGTGGAGATAACTGAAAAACAGTAATCGTTGTGCTAATTATGCTTTATTCTTTATATAGAAAATATCTAAATGGCTTGTTAAGAAAGCTTTCATATAAAGCTTAATATAAGGTAGAACATGGTGATATTAATTCAAGCATATGTGTGGGCTATATGGTAAAGGAGTCATCTTTCATTGTAATGTTCCTCCTAAAACAAGCCTAAATTTTACCTGGCAAGCTCCTGCTTACCTCATCGTTCAATGTACAAATAATTCTACCTGAATGATCATATCATGCTTTCATATGCCTCTATGAATTGCACTAATTTATAAAGATTCAATAAGGAATCACTGCTATTGAATAAAAAGGGTTTTCAGACAACAATAAAAGCTCAATTTACATTTGGGGAGCTTATGAATCAACAATTGATTTTAAATACAGTTGGTACAAATATTAATTAAATACACAAATGAACACTATACAACTGAAGATGAGTAGAATTGACATTTTAGGGTTCACATTTCTCTGCATTATAAGACTAGAAAGGTTAAGTGGGAGCTTATATATTTATTCTGATCATACTCATTCTGAACAGCAGATGGCAGTCTTGACCTTGAGTTTTCAGTTTCTCACGCCTAGGCGTTCTAGGTCAGTCTTATAAATGTCCCTATAATTATCAAATCTGTTGCAATACTATCAGCTCATTTTTACACTCTGAGGATCCTATTAATGATAAAATGGTAGGTCACAGTACATAAGCAGCAAAACCAGTGTCAAGGTTATGAGAGCTCAGCTGTCACTGAGATTCAGCATCACTCTCTCACTCATTCGTGCCGAGTCAGGAAGTCTGCTTCAGCTAGAATAGAGCTTGTTTTCATTACTGTTTTCATAGCATTGATGTGTGTGCTCAAGCATAACGCTGGAGTTCTGCTATTTGTAATACTGTATTTTTTTACTCACACATTTTGACAGGTCTTTTATGTTCGTATGAGTTGTCATTTGCTCCTGTGCATGTAATGCACTCTGCAATGATACACTGTATATGATCAGACAGAATCAAGTTCAGCAATTATTCAATAAGACAAATCTAATGTTGTATAGATTCTTGGGCACAATCACTCAAACCATGTTTTGCGGTTTTGCAGCCTGTCTGAGCTTTTACTTCATTACAAACTCAAGCTCTGTCTCATTAAGAACTTGACTTCTTTTGCTTGTGTGTGTGTGTGTGTGAAACTATGGACACAGCAGAACCCTGACGTTCTGGAATAAACTCAACTTACATTCTAGAATTATTAGCCACCGTATCCAGCTGTGAAACAGCAGCTCATTAGCTGCTCTGTCAGGATGCTCTGGCTGCACCATGTTTCAGCAAAGCCACTGGTCTGCAGGATGAATGCTGACAGATGTGGGACACAGAGAGAGAGTAAGAGAGCTTTAATGTCCTTCTGAATGTCCAGTCTAATAGTAACTGTGTCTTGCTTCAACACATCAAAACAGCTTAGGGGAAAACAGGCCCTAAACTGATACATAGTCTATTTACCTCCAGGCCCTAAACTGCTATATAGTCTATATTCCTCCAGGCCCTAAACTGCTATATAGTTTATATAACACCAGGTCCAAAACTGCTATATAATCTATATACCACTGGGCCCTAAACTGATATATAGTCTACATACCTCCAGGTCCTGAACTGCTTCATAGTCTACATTTCGCCAGGCTCTAAACTGCTATATAGTCTATATTCCTCCAGGTGTTAAACTGATTTATAGTCTATATTCATCCTGGTATTAAACTGCTATATAGCCTACCTTTCTTCTGGATTTAAACACTTATATAGCTTATATTCCCCTAGGCCTCAAAGTGCTATGCAGTCTAAAATCCCAAGCTGCTCTATAACGTTAGCCTATATTCCTATAGTCTACATACCTCCAGGCCCTAAACTGCTATATAGTCTATATACCTCCAGGCCCTAAACTGCTATATAATCTATATTCCTCCAGGCCCTGAACTGCTATATAGTCTATATTCCTCTTGGTCTTAAACTGCTATATAGCCTACATTTCTTCTGGTGTTAAACTGCTATATAGTCTATATTGCCCAAGGCCTCAAACTGCTATGCAGTCTATAATCCCATGCTGCTCTATAACGTTAGCCTATATTGCTCTAGGCCCTAAACTGCTATACAGTAACTAAACTGCTCTGCATTTACAATACTTGCACATTTTCACAAAAGTAGCCTTAGCCTAAAGCATTTTGTTCTCTGTCTGCCTTCCAAACACTGGCTAACACCCCAAACTAGTCTGTATACAAAACGAACACGAAAAATGCGCGCACAGCAACAGCTCCATCATCCGTACCAAATCATAATTAAATGAACTCATACGTTTTAAGAGCTGAACTGGACTCGCCACGCTGGTTGCCATTCAGAGCTCCTCTTCTTCTGCTGCTGCTGCTGCATACGCAATCCATGGATGGTGGTTGCTATGGTTTCTCAGGTCACATGCGTGGGTTTGCCGTGCGTTGTTCTTTTTTCCCACCCGCATTCCGACAGGCCCCGCCTCCTGCGCTACGATTGGCTAAGTAGCCTCCCCTGCGAGGATTGAATAAGAGCTCATAGGCACCAGCAGCTCGCTGGTTGGTGTGATCCAGAGCCATGGCAGAGACATGGATGACCTCCTGACCAATCCTCGCAGGGTGGGCGGGGCTTGTCGGTAATCGGGTGGGGGAACAAATAAATAAATAAATGAATAACGCGTTTCCTGTAGCCAACAGCAAAAAAGATGCGAGCTGTTGAAATTTCTGCCATTTTTATGCCGCCAAATTAGGGAACGCTGTCAGTTCGAATGGAAATCGGTGCCATGGAGTTGTGAGAGTGAGAAATACCCAGCCTGGTTTCTCTGTTGGGTTTTTTTCTTTCTTTCTTTTTTTTGCCGCTGCATTACTACGAGCTCACCCGACGCAGGTTACCGTTCATTAGAGCTGACGCTGCCAGCGCGGTTTTGCTCCCCGGTCCTACTGCAGTTTTGCACCCCTTTCCTCCGGAGCCCTGGTATCAGGAATGAGTATAGAAATCCCCGAGGGGTTGACGGAGCTTTTGCAGAGCTTTACGGTGGAGGTGCTGAGGAATCAACCCCGGGATCTGTTGGAGTTCGCCCTGCAGTATTTCACCCAGCTGAAGGAGAGCGAGAGCAGGGGGGCCGCGTTCGGCAATGAGCAAAACTCGGCCGTGCGAGCTGGGAAAGCCGTCAACTTCATCGAGGAGGCCATGCAGATTGACTCGGAGAACGAAGAGGACGAGGATGACGATGAGGAATTCGTAGGTAACAGATTGGGCTTGTTAAAACGTTAATTTTTTTGCTAGGCTATCATTTTACACGAGGCGGGGTACTTACAGTATAACACACTACGATTTCGCAAAGACCTCGCGTGGTCTGCAAATGTGAGGTGCATGATGTAGTAGACGAAGCCGAATTCAGGCTTCTTATTCGCCAGCTTCTCGTTCCAATTTTCCCGTTCCACCTTAAATAGTGCAGCGGTCATTATGACGCCTGAGGCGCCAGAATGTAACTGCTGCACCATTTAAGGTGGAACGGAAAAATTCGAACAAGACGCTGACTTCAGCCTCTCGTGTGTAGTAAGCTAATAATGCAGCCTGAATCCCAGGCTACAGTCCACAGACGGCCTCCATCGGGCCTAATGACAGGAGACTGCCGATTATCTACCATTTAATAATGCTATCTCGACACGAGTGCGAAGCTAATAGTGGTCTTGATTCTTGCTTTGGTGGTCGAGGGCGTAAATATGATGATGAGTGGTAAATGCAGAGCTCACTCTGCAGAGGCGGTGGGAGTGGGGGGGGTAGGGGAGGGGGGATGGAGGCTACTACAGGCGGCAGCAGCAGCAGCAGCATCCTCTTATATGCTGAAGGATGCTGATCTCGCCCTGCATGTACTGTGCCTCAAAAGAGCTTTGGCCTTTAACGAATAGAGTCTGCATTCATCCACTTGTGAGATGGATACGCTCTTTTTGTCTGTCTGTGTGTGTGTGTGTGTGTGTGTGATTCACACGCGCTGCTCTTCCGGGCCTGCTCTCTGACTGCACAGCTGCACTCCGTCTCGTCCTGTGCTCATCCACACTCCTCTTCTTCATTTCGTAAACATTTGGCAGAAAACCCTAAAACTGTCCTCGAGTAGCTTGTCAGGCAAAGCCATGCCAATTCATATGATTCATCTCGGCTTAGAGACTGCATACTGAGGAGCTCACTGGAGGAGATGGTCCACCAGGACAAAGGTAGCTGAATAGCATGGTGGCTAAACCTCCTCATGCAGTTTTCATGAGGGTACATTGTGTCAGACCTGGGGGCTTTTTATTGCCATGGAGGATGCTTTATTATTTCTCTGAATTTGAATGGCAATTAGAGCGGCGCCAACTTCAAAGCGACCTGAATCCAGGTTAAAAAATCTGAATAACACTAAATATACTCTGGACTAAATGATCTAGGCCTGCATTTTTTCTTCTGCTTATTTCTTCATTTTTTCTGCTGACACAATAGGTGCATCCAAGCATGTTTCTTGTTGCTCTCATTGACCACTGTTGTCCTTTCTTCACAGCCCCAGTGATAAACAGATTCATAAGGCGAGCTTCTGGTAAGTGATATAAGAACTTTCTGCTGAAATGCTTCCATTTAAATACCTGCTCCTGAGCCATTAGGAAAACATTCTTGAAATTTTGACAGCAATGCAGTTACTGGAAATTTTGGGCAGACTAGGCATCACGACAGTTCTGTTTTCTTTCTAGTAATAATATATTTGTCTACTGTCTGTGCAGCACTGTCTTAATGCAGGTCACATGGAAATCTTGAGTATTCTTCCACCAATGTTTCTGTGATGTCTCAGTTTCAATATGTGCCACAATATAGTCATAGTCAGATCAAAACTTCCTATTTCCATTAATTTTTTACATCATTTGATCACACCAGCTTTCCTTTAACATTGTGAACACAACATGGTGAATAAACAAGTAGAAATGATCCACAATTACTTATAATAAAATCTGATTTACATACACTTAAAGTTAGAGGAATCATTTTTTCAACATTTCACTGAAATGGTAACAGTCATTGGTTTGATGTGCAATAATTAATCAAAGAGAAACTTACCAACTTCTTTACAGTAGTGGTGATGGAAGACAGCGTCTGCAATACAAATAAAGCCATTTTATTCACTATCCAAAACCACCAGTAAATCTACATGTGTCTTCTGAGTTTTTATATGTAATGTTCATAATGATAAAATAGTGGTAAAACTGAAAAAAAGACTCTTTTTGGAAACTGTTTTATCTTACGATGTCTTGCGTGTACCTGTCCACCATGAATGGATGTAAAAAAAAGTTTTAGGCCAAAATCTTATCTCGCAGTATGTTGTAAAACAGTGTCTTAGGCAGTGTATTCATAGCCGTTTAACCTAATAACTTTGTTTGAGGGAGCTCTAAGAGGCATTAAACTCTTCGGATGTCTGGTTCCTGTCACCACCACTGTGAACAGTTTTGACTTGGTAAATTTCTCTAGAATGAAGCATTTCACATCAAACTACTCTAAATGACTGTACATCTTAACTATTTAACTATTTAATTATGCAGACGTTTTGGACAATCACTGGAATTCCTTTTTTAGAACACTTTACCTTCTGTGAAGTTCCTGTTTTGGAGAAACAAAGTTTTGTTTAAACAGCGGTGATATTTTGTTTGTGTGTGGCTCTGCTTCTTATAATCCTGTGAGATACAGGCCGGCTGTATCTGTTAAAGAATGCAAATAAGAGTACGTGCGGTTTGTGCAACTATTGTAGATATGTTTTCTGGAAAGAGAAGATTGGGTTTGGGACACTTTAACATGAGTTTACTGATCTGGCTGACACTTTCAGAAGTGTTGTTTAGTCAAGGCTTGATTTGTTCAGTCTGTGAGAGGAGCACAGCGGATTCACGAGTTGAAACTTCAGGCTTGATGTAATCCCACATCACTGGAACCTGAATGGTTTGCCTAGTAAGTGCTTTAGCTTCATCTTCAGCTGCAGGATGAGATGGAGGAGATTGACTTTTATTACACACAGCGATGGAATGAAATAAAACAGCAGGGGAAGCTAGTGTTTAAAAGATTTTCCCTCAGAGTCATCTGTTACACTCAAGAGGGAGGGCAGTCTTGTGTCAGCCACTTTCTTAAGAAAACATTCTTCATTAAAGCAAACCTAAAGGAAAAGGTATGGAGAAAAGTTCCAGGCTCATTTGGACAGCTTTTTGTCGTATATATACATATTAGGCCTATGGAGGATGGTTCATCTACTCTAGTTTTAAAAGATCCCCAGTTCATTTAATAAGTCATAATTTATGTATGTCATATTTAAACAAGCGCCAAAGGATTCTGGTTCACATCAAATTGACACAGTGCTGTGAGCCCTGTGTAGGTCAGCAGCTATCCGCGTAGATTAAATGATAATGTGCATTCCTTCAGCAATGCAATGCATGTTTTCTCCAAGCAATCTCAAACTGAAACAAGAGACTAACTAAAATTGTAAAGCTGCATATTTCATACTGTACAGCTCTTCTAAATGTGCCTGCCATAGCCAAAACTCACATCCCATTCCCATAGCTCAGCTGCAGAGCTCTCACTTCATATCAATGTAAAAATATGCTGTATAAACACTTACATTTTGGCTTATAAAGGATACGTCCTTAAAGATCCAATCAGAATTTCTCCACATAGTACCACAGTGACCCCAGGACAAGCTACAATCATATATATATATATATATATATATATATATATATATATATATACAGCAGCTGAGACACACACATATATATATATATATGTAACATCAAGATCATGCCTACAATTGAACTGTAGTGGAAATTGCTTACACTCTTAAAAATGAAGGTGAGGCAAGTTTATTTATACAGCACATTTCATACTTAAAGGCATACAGCAGTTAGACCTAGGTTCAGTCATAGCCTAGGTCATTACTGCAGTAACACTCTCCTGTTAAAACTTACTACCCATTTTTTTGATTGATTTATTTCATGCATACCATAGCAAGATAATAGCATCCCCACATGTTTACATAACTGAACATTTGAGCATGTTGGGTTATGCGATATTCTACATTAATGCTACATTCATTGTAACAACACAGATGAGACTGCTAAAATGCAGCTGCTTAGCTGTGCCGGTTGAATTGAATGCGCTGGTTGGTTCAGGACTGCAGGCAGACAACATAATATCGGATATTATATATCAACCACTTGTGGTGTAGTGTACATTTTAGGACATCTTTAGACCACAGTATTAGGTTTCAGATATCAGAAAAATAGCATCAAATCTGGGAAAAAAGCGCTGTCGTGTCTCAGCTGCTGTACAATCAGGCTAAGCCAAGTGGTTACAGACACGGAATTGTACGTATTTTTAACTAGATTAATTACAGTTTCATGGCCAAATTAAACATATTTTACAATAAACTACAACTACATATTTTACAGAACTGTTATATTATTCTCTTTGACAAAGAGTATGCTTCAACTTGCATGCTATCATTGTTTGCTCCTGAATTCCCTTAGCATCTCAGAATGACTATTGATTATTATTATTATCATTATTATTATTTGTTGTTCTTTTTGTTGTTGTAGTAGTCGTAGTATTAGTATCTCTGGACACATCATCACTGATGCTCTTGTAAGCATCAATGAGATGTACTTACAGAGATGATAAAAATAAAAATACTAGCAACCCCCCCACACACACACCCCAGTCACACCACACCCTTTAAACAGACATACAACAAAAAAAAAAATAGCATACTGCATATTTTACTGACCTCTTCCTGAAGCACAGTACAATTTGTACAGCACTTCTGCTGTTAGTGTTGGTTATCCAATGGACTGAGTATAGCTGCCCTTCTTACAAACACAGACTGATGAGATAATCCATCATTACACACATTTTAGAAAGCTGACATAAACTAAACTATTTCCAACATGTACAAGCTTTTGGATTTCATCTTATATGAAATATTGAACACAGATTCAGTAGAAGTAGCTGCAGATCTATTAGTTTCATCTCCTGCCGTTTCTCCTGAACTTTCTTTGAGACGTGTGCACAAAGGATTTTGGACAGAAAAGTGTGAGGAATACTCCACTAGCATCCTTGAAAACTGAGAGAGTGTAGTCTTCATTTCTCAGCTGTATTCAAAGGATTCTTCTGACTGGAATGGTCATTGATGACATAGTGGTCTAGAGTGTAGCCCACAGATACTGCAGCCTAGCTTTGGTAACACAGCTAGTGTGTTAGAAAAGCGAAAGCACTAATTTCTGCAGAGTTGTGGACTGCCAGAAAATGAATCTGACACCTTAGTTTTTAAGCAAACTTCTCTCAACATATGGTTTAAGAGAGATATTACACCCTAACTTACGATTCAACTGAAGTTCATCTGGTGCAACTGGCTACTGATCCAGTTAATCACAGCCTTCAGGAGCATCTGAATATTGGGGGGGGTGTTGGAACTAAACACTCTAGAGCGATAGATCTACAGGAGAGGACTTGGGCACCCCTGTTTTATATTATATGGATTTTTTTAACTTTAAAAAGGTTTTTTGTGCTCACATTTCATTTACAAAAATACTTCTTTAAAGAGCCGTCTGTTGAAAGATCCTTCAGCTAACCCAAGTGGTTCTTCTTTGGCATTAAGAAGGTAGTGTGAAAGAGGAATTAGTAAGTGCTGTCTTTAAGCATTTTTTAATTTCTGAGCTTTTGTCATAGAAGTGCAGCAAAGAAACTTGCTGTGTGCAGCAGTTCTTGATTGGCATCATGCCCATTGCTGAGAACCGACCGGTACTGGAATTCTAACCTCAGCCAATGATTGGTGTACATAAGATGTGGATCTCTCATTGAACTGACCTCTGGAGTTACACACAGGCTGCAGCGGGCAGAGATCTGTAGAAGTCAGGTTGAGTTTGGTATAGATTTGGCTGTGGAGCACATACCCGGGCCCGATCGTGGGAGGGGTATCGATCCAGACAGTGGATGCTCCTGTCATCCTCTGTGCTGGTATTAATAGTAGGAACACTGGGGGCGTGTGGCAGAGGAGTGCAAATGGGCCTCTCATCTCAACAGTCTGAGCTTAATAGAAGAAAAGAGGGAGACAAAAGACAGGCAAAAAGGGAAGGAAGCTTAAAGTGTGGGTATGAATAAAGGGATAAGGCAGATTCATTCAGTATTTTGAGAACAGACTGGTGAGCAAAGTCAGATAATTGCTTTTTTAATATTTTTTTTCCAGGGAACAGATGAGTTTAATGCTTTTTATTCTCAGTATGTCTGGATGTCCCCACTTACCCACCACATAACCTGTAGGCTTCGTAGTCCTATCAGTGTGTTTTTCTCTTCTGTTTCCAGTGTGTGCAGAGGCATTTAACCCAGATGAGGATGAAGAGGACAAGGAGCCAAGGGTGAGGGATTGCTTATTGTGTTATTGTAACATGCTTCAAAATCAATGCTTGTAAGCTGTGTTCTTGAAACTTTTTAAGCACATTCCTCCAGTTGTCTTACTGTTTTGGCTTGGTGTTGCACATTTCTATCAATGTACTCATCACTCATCCTGAAATGCCCTTGCTCTCTTTACAGGTGACTCACCCAAAAACAGATGAACAAAGGCAGAGATTACAAGAGGCCTGCAAAGACATACTTCTTTTCAAAAATCTTGATCAGGTAAAGACTACAATGCGCCGCAATGCTGCCTTCCTTTTTCCACTCTCATCTTTCTAGCTTGATGTTTATTGTGCTGTCATAACAAATCCGAAGTGGTGACTTTCAGGGCTGACAAACGATTAGCCTTAAATAACTACACAAAAGTGCATCGAGATGAATTGTTTCACAACCCATTGTGTGAAAGTAACCATTTTGCTTTTTTGTCTTATTTGTATTATTTGCTCAAATCTGACCCTAAAAAATTTTAACATTTAAAATTCTGTTATAGAGATACAAATGGAGACTTTCAGTGTGGGTACATGAGCACAGGGTTCACATGAAGATGAAAATCATGTAATTGTCATAGAGTGAACACAGTTTTGAAATTTTTCCTGAAGAACTGGAGGATAGTCGAACTGATAAAATATATGGACACGACTGTGGAATGATTGTGCAATCTCATATATCCATGTTTGGTGTTCAAGTAGTCTGTTAATAATAAATAATGAATAGAGGGTATTTGGGTTTGCGTGCATTGTTATGTGGTGGAGAAGGTATTTTTAAAATTGTTGAGGTCTTAAAAATGTGTTAAAAAGCATTGAATTTGATTTTTAAAAATTTGCAGCAACGTTGATTATGCTTGTAATTTCTGTTTAATAGTAGTGTCGGTGTGTTTTGCTCGCTAACGATAAAGTTTATTGGATGAGGATAAAACGTTTTTAACTTTAACGTGCACTAACCTAATAAGATTTTATTCTGTGTAATTTTGGTGTTAAATTAAATTAAACAAATAGAGTTACTATTCTGATTGCAAATTTGTAATACACAACGAATAAATGTTAGTGCTTGTTATTGAAAATATGTAAACAATCAAGTGAGAATGGCAAAATGATGGTATGTTTTTTATTAATAAGACCATTATTGTATTGTGTTTGGCTAATTGTAGAAATAGATTTATCATTTAGTTTGTGTCCTTATGTTTAGAAGTGTGCTCATAACTCATGAAGTGCTTTGTTGACAGTTATGTGCATATTGAGCATTGCCACATTCAGTGGAGGTGTTGGTGTTGTGCAGCATATGTTCTTATTGTTTTTAAATGCTGTGCCTTCCTTATGACTCTGACAGTTCTGTGAGCTGGAAAGCTGAGTGTCTGTTAACTCAACTTTGCAGGAGCAAATGTCACAAGTATTGGATGCCATGTTTGAGAAGACGGTTGCTGCTGGTGAACACATCATCGATCAAGATGATGATGGAGACAACTTTTATGTCATTGAGAGGTGGGAACAGTATGGTTTCTATTTCATGAATAAAATATTGCTGTTTTCAAACATTCAGGAAAACTTAAAGAATCTGCTCATGCTTAATTCTTGCAGAGGGACTTTTGACATCCTTATGAAGTCAGATGGCACCACCAGAACGGTTGGCTCATATGATAACCGTGGGAGTTTTGGGGAGCTTGCCCTGATGTATAACACCCCACGTGCAGCCACCATTGTTGCTACCTCACCTGGAGCCTTGTGGTGCCTAGTGAGTGACTTTATGATTTAACATTGTACATTTTAGCTCCCTCTACTGTTCATATAAAATGCTAACATACTCCCACACAAAGAGACTGCTGGAATGACTTGTTGGCCTAATTTCTCTAGAATGTAGTGTTTAGATTCTAGTTCAGTCTTGCTGGAATGTTCATTAGACATTTTTGTAGCATTTACATTTCAATTGCCATATGATGCTTGATCTATTAAAACTTTTATGTTAAAGAAAATAATAATGTTGCCTAATGGCCGCAGTTTGAAGACAGAAGAAAAAGAATTTTTTACTTCACTTTTAAATAAATGCTTTTGTTTGCAGGACCGGTTGACGTTCAGAAGGATAATTGTAAAGAACAATGCAAAGAAGAGGAAAATGTATGAAGCTTTCATCGAGACCCTTCCATTGCTAACATCCCTGGAGGTTGGAACCACTGCCTCTTTTAAACAAGCATTATTAGGAGCAAAAACTGGGGAACTCATTTTAATATATATATATATTTTTTTTCAGGTCTCAGAAAGAATGAAGGTGGTAGACGTCTTGTCGTCTAAAGTGTACAGTGATGGAGAGCAAATTATCGCACAGGTTAGCCCTTTATTCTACGGTTCATGTTCAGTTCTTTTATAGCTTGAAAACTGGCCCATTGAATTTGAGTAGCATTGTTAGTAGTTATTCATAATATGTTGTGAACTATATGATACAATATTGTACCAAATATTATGCCTTACACCGTAGTCCTACATGTGTTGTATTTTGCTCCATAGGGTGACCTAGCAGACTGTTTCTACATTGTAGAATCAGGTGAGGTTAGAATCACCATGAAGAGGAACCGGGTAGGTACTTTTACAAATTTCTTACAAATGTTGAGGCAAAAAGTGTTAATGATCAATGTGCATTCTACAGTTTTTTATGTTTTTTTATTTCACCTCAGTTCACTGTTCACCCTAGTAACTTATTTTAATAATTGAAGCTTTGCATAGACATTTTCTTAACAGCTTTCTGAAAGTTCCTCCAGGAGGCTTACTCTGGAGGTTAATAGGGCATGAATTCACAGATAACACTAAAACCTCTACAACACATCTGGTTTCAAAAATCTAAAGCTCTCAGTTAAATGACTCATTATTTAACGTGTGTTCATTTTTTAAATAACATGTCTTTTTGTTATTTTACACTTGTAATCATGCTGTATATCTCATGTATTGTGAGACATACAATCACGTACCAGAAATGCTGAATAAACCCTCTATATTCTTTCTAGATCGAATCTTTAATCTCATAAATGTTTAGAAGAACATCCAGAGGACATGTTTTGTTAAAACATGTTCTGGAAGTGGGAAATCTTAGATAGTTTAAAGCTTTTACCCCATTAACTTTTATCATAAGTTGTTCAAAATTATTACATAAAGCCTGGGTCATCAGTACCTAATCAGCCTTTAAACAGTAACAAGGAGATTCTGGTGTATTAAACATTACCATTGTGATCAATTTCAACAGTTGAAAACAGATTCTGAAGAAGACGAAGTGGACATCGCCACATGCACCAGGGGGCAATACTTTGGAGAATTGGCTCTTGTCACCAACAAGCCAAGGGCAGCTTCTGCATATGCTGTGGAGAATGTCAAGTGCTTAGGTACTCTGCTGCTTTTAATCACTTTTAAATGCGCAAGAAAAAACAGGAAAAGTATATTTGTATCAGAAACCTGTAGAGATCAAAGTATACATTAACGAAAAATACTGTACCACACATATGCAATATGTGGTTGTATGACAAAAAAATGTACCAGTTCGTCCACAGAATTACTGCTCTACTTACTGCCTGTTACTTTACTTACTTTTGTGTGGACTGTGTTTTTCACAGTAATGGATGTCCAGGCATTTGAGAGGTTATTGGGACCCTGCATGGACATCATGAAACGCAACATCGCTAACTATGAAGAGCAGTTGGTCACCCTCTTCGGGAGTCACACAGAAATAGAGGAGCCAAGTGCATGAGATTAAAAAAAAAGTAAAAAAATATACTAATTGACATGCAACATAATGAAAAGATGAAATAATGGTGAGTACAGGCCTTTTTACAGGCCGTTGTTCAGATGCCATATGATCATAACTTTTTGAAGTTTTTGAGTTATTGTTTTGCGTTCACAGAAGTGAAGCTCTGGTGTGTCAGTGATAGTGATTTTTACAAATGATAAGCCAAACATGTAGGATATTCTTAACAGGTTACACAAGGTTTAAAAAAAAGTTTGTTTTTTCATGAATACGGTGTTTTGTCATGCTGGGAATTTACTAAATTTATCCAGTTATTGGGTAATGTCAGTTTTCTCCACCTTTGTTATGTATTTTGTTCACATGTATTTGGGTGGAATGAGTTTTTATGGTGACTTTTACTTTCTCTTTTGCAGTCTTTGACAGCAAAAAGTTGCAATCTGCTGTAATCATTTTTCACATATTTTGATTTTTTTTCCTCTGAATTCTGTTAGGTTTTTACAGTGCACTTGTTAATGTGTGCAACATATCTCATTCATTATAGCTCCAGGTTTTTTTTCTTGAACACTTACTTTAAAAGAAAGAGCAAATCTCACACACACATTTTAAAGGGCCCTGTGTGTGAGGGCGGGGTATGAGGGGGAGACAGGAACCAAGTCCTGGTCATTTGTATTAATAAAAGCATAAAAGCTAGTGGTATGACATTAAGATATAAACATGTAATGGCTTGATTACATGAGACAAAAGGGAAACAGAAGTGTGTGTATGCTGATATTGCACTTTGATGCTAGCCTCATAAAAAAATAATTGCACAGTTTTATGCTGAAAATGATTACAATGTACACAGTATTTTAGAATTTAGTTTAGAGCTCACTCATAAAAAATACAATTCATGTAATTTTTTGTAGTATTTGAAATATAGCTTATTTATTTTACCTTTTACCTTTATGCTTTTGTTCAAATTTGGCATTTATTTATCAATCTGAGTGTTTCACAGTAGAATTAGACGTTTGACGTTTGTGAAATAGCCTCTCTTTTAGCCATTCTTTTCTACAAACCAAACTAGAGTGTATGTTTGCTTTTGGTAAAATGAATAAGGAATATACATGATCAAATGCACATTAATGCATATCGCTTTAACTACTCAAATATGCTCTTTTGCCCTTAAAAACTTTAAATTTTGCTTCTGAACTGCAATATGCTTCACCACATTTGGTCCTGTTTTCCATTCATGTTTAAACTGTCCCTTTTTCTCTATTTGTATTACAATGTTTTTACTCCACTGGCAAGTTAACCATTTTAGGATTTTTTTCTTCCAATAACATTGATGATATTATTTATTTCTTACCGTCTACCTCCACACACAGACATCACACCGTTACCCCCCGCGGGAGCCTACAGCCCCCCCCCCTCCAAGTAGCTGGCCTCTACTGAGCGCTTTTATTGTAGGCTGTTTGTGTAGTTTTATCATTTTATAAAATTTAGCTTGTACAACTGTTAGAGACTTTCAGTTGCACATACTGTTGACCTGTGTTTTATATATTTAACATGTTTATGTGTCTGAATCACCACCTCAAAAAGTAGCTCTTTGTGTTGCCAGTGCTCTCTACTTCATCAAATTCAGATTTAAGGTCTACAGACTCTCAATGCCAGAGCATCCAGTACTATTGTCAGTGATATTTGACTTTCCATCAAAATAAAATACACTTTTGTATTACATTTTAGTCGTGTGGTTCATTCATTATATGTCATATGAAACTGGAGCCTGTAGCAGAAAATAACGTCATCTGAAATAAACGAGGATTTCAAAGAAGAAAGTAACAGTCAGTTCTTGTTGATTGTTCATACTGAAAGCAAAACAAAAGCTCAGTCCAGTAACAAAGGAGACGACAGCGGTGTTGGTGTGGCCAATGAATGGCACGCTTAAGGTAACGGGCAAGAGACAGCGACCAATGATCTTCACAACAACAAAGCAAGCTACGCCTTCTGCAGGGCTCTTCGGACCGGCCAATCACGCGTCGAGTCTGGTTGATTGACGTTCGGCTCAACCAATGAGCGCGAAGATCTAAAAGTAATCAGTACTGCCTGCTCGGAGAAGGCTAGAGATACTCGGTAATGGCGACAGGCTTGGTAAGTAAAAAGTTAGCGAAAGATTACAAAGGATCGAAACATGGGCTCTAATCCGTTGAAATCGGTATGAACACGGTTGTAAACTGTTTTTCCTTCCGTGGCGATTCGAAAGGCTGTCATTCATTCCTTCGTTTGGAAATGACAACTTACTGTAGGTGGGTTTTTTTCATAGTGACGTTTGTTGTTTTGCTTGTGGTGGCTTAGTAAGTTAGCTAGCCATTGAAGTTAGCGAGCCTAGCTCTGCTGGCTAACCAGCTATGTCCCAGCCGCGGCTGCCAGCTGGCTGTTTGTCCGAAAGAAAGTGAGTCGTGTGAGGTGGAGAAAACGGAAAATAGTTTTTCCTTTCATTCATTGCAGGACTCCTTGGAAGGGCTCCGAGCGCCATGTCTCAACTTGTTGACATTCTTTTGTTTACAAGTCCGCGGTGGTTCTCCACCGTACGAAGTTCTGGCTTTTCGACAACACTGTGAACAATAGATTTATCCGGACTTCTCCTCTCTGTCCTCTCTGTCCGGAGACCCTCAGTGTGAGCTGTTCATTTTTACAGCGAAGTACTTTTGACGGTATTGTTTCCGTAGCAGAAGTACTCTGAGTCTCAGAGGGGAAAATCCGTCCCTTTGTTTAATTAAACTTGAGAAATAAACGTTGTCTTTCGTTAATTTAATGTTATCGATGGATGAAAATGTTGTTCGGTCACCAGTGGACCCCCGTCTACAGTGACCAGCACAGAGAGCTGTGAAAAGCGAGTTAACAGCTGATATTTTTCTTCCTGTGTGTGTTTGATCCAGATTGCAAGTTAAACCACTTAAACCACTCGTTTTTCGAAACTGTCCAGAGATCGCCTCGCAGTCAGTTTGGTTTGTTGTCGTTGAGTGAAATGTAATCGTGGTATCATTACTTCGGATTACATTTCTGGTTTTATCTGACTATTATTGATCCAGTGTTACGCAGTTCTGAATGAATGAGCGCAGCAGCGCATGCGCAGGGTCTTTAAAGTTTATAAACAAGGCTTGCATGCAAGAGGGTCACATGACAGCCCTTTACGAAACGGGGACTGAGAGTCCTCAGACAAAGAACAGCGCTTACGACGTGCTGAATCTCACAGATTTGCTTTATGAAACTATCGTTGGTTGCTTTTTTGTTTCAGGAGCGCAACACCGCTGTTTATTACAAGCATATAGCGACTGTTATTACTGCGCTGTTTTAGAGCAGGGCCGAGGTTGCACAATAGCCAGCATGGTTGTTGTTGTTGTTGTTGGAAATGTATGCTTTCCAAAGTAATCTCACAATAACGTTACTAAAATAAAATAATTATATTTTATTGATATGTTTATTGTTTCATTTGTTCGTCAAGCATTAATTCATTCATCCGTGCGTTAATTCATTCATTCTGTGAAACGTGTAACTAGACTGTCATAGTGCCCCAGATACCTTTAACAGTAATTTGTGGTGTATTTCCCATTCATAAAACTTACTTCCTGCGTTACCAGGCCACGTTAATTATTTTAATCTGTTTAAAGCCTGGCCAGGTGACATGGCATAATATGGTGTGGGAAGTGAAGACTCAGTCAGTGCCCCAAAGAGTCCAGAAATCCCAGACACATTGCTCAGGCATGGACGAGGCCTTCGATTTGCTCAAGTGTAACGAGGACCTGCCCTCCTCACCAGGTTGCCCCTCCAGTGACAGCCACATGGAATATGGTAATGCCATGTTACATTTACATACTCTGTTCATTTATGTTTATATCAATATGTAGTTATATATGTTTCTCTGTCTCTGTATAAATGCTCATATGATCTTGCCCTACTTGTTTTACAGATGACCTGCCAGAGCTGCAGGAGGTGCAGGATGACCAGTCGTCCCATGCGGTGTTCCAAGTGACTCCAGGTGTGTCTCATGAGGAGAGGACAGGGCAAGGCAGGAGCCTGCAGTCAGAGAGCAGCTCCTCACACACCAACTGGCTGACAGAGTTGGCCAACATCGCCACCAGCCCCCAGAGTCCCTTGCTGCAGAATGCCCCCCACAACCGGTGAGTAATGTTTAGGATTTTCACAATAAAGATTCTACATGTATATGTCATATATGTTAAGAAATGGTGACTTCAGTTGAATCCATTTTGGGCCACATGAAAAAATGCAGCAATTTTAAGTTAGGCAATTGTAGACCTGCACCATGTTATAATTTTATCAGTCATTTAATTCCTCTTACAGAAGTGTCCTAAAAGTATGCTTCCAGTAGTCAGTCCCATTACCATATTTTTGAAATACCCACTCTTACCCAAGTGATTCATTGTGCTGTGTCTCGTAGGTCCTCTCCTGTGAACATCTTCGCCAGCAGTAACAGTTTACATTCCTATGCCCGGCCTCCTTTGGCCTCCAGCAGCGCTCCCAGCCCTGCTCGCAGCCACATGAGAGAGCGCCGCCGTGTGCGGGTACAGCTTACGGCAAATGTTCAGTCATGAATTTAGATACAGATTTGCAAAACTTAAAAAAATAGTCTTCCCATGTGACTGCTGATCTGTTATGTGTATAATTTTGCTTACTTTAGTTTCTTTTAACTATGACAATTATGTTACATTATATTGTTATGTTATACCTTAGTTTCCATCTTCCATCTGTGATAATTACATCACAGTCATTTGAATATTATTGTAATTGGTCATCTGTGTTGCCGTTTGAACCCATTTTAGGCCAGCAGCGAGTCAGAGTCGGGAATATTCTGCATGTCCTCTCTGTCAGATGATGATGACATGGGGTGGTCCCATTCTTGGCCCTCCACTGTTTGGCACTGCTTTTTGAAAGGTAAAATACTTACATACTTGTTTTGAGGTGGAAAATTGTCCTGGCTTCTGATAAGGCATTTAAGATTAAGGGTGGCTAAGATCTCATAAAAGTATCACACTGTTGTAACAGGCGCAGATAAGGTGTTCCTTCCAGCTGTCTGGGAAAGCCCAGCTGATTTCTGTAACTCCCTCTAATGTGTTAGTTGCACACCAGCCATTTTATGAATGAGCAGTTGAGAGGGCAGTAGTGCGGTAGCACTCTCTGCTGGTACATATGCACCACTACAACAGACAAAGAGCAAAACAAGTTTAGAGCATGGCTCACGGGAGGGGCGCAAGATGTATGGTCTCCACCCTCAGCTTTTGAGGCACAAAAGTTGGCCTTGGCCCACCAGAAAGTTACCCTAATTCCGCCCCCTTACACAAAGAGAGAACAAACATTTGCATATAGTCCATATTATTTATTAAATTAATTTAGTTTAGTTCGTGTATTTTAAGTATTTTCATTATGTAGTATAGTGTTATGTAATAAAATATCTGAAAAAAAACTAGATTTGAAACCTACCTACCTTCTTAATTTGTTTATTGCTTTGTTGTTTTGGCCCTCAGACCACTACAAATATTGCATTATTGCCCCCCTCCCCCAAATGCTCTAGTTAAATTACAAGAACCCACAAATATTTAAGATTCAGTTTATTTTCATTGACAAAATTGGAGTTTCTCTGTGTCATATGTAAAGATCTATACATACATTATATGAAAGGCCTTTGCCGTTGTCTTGCTTCTGTAGGCACACGTCTGCGCTTCCACAAAGGGCCAAATGTGGAGTGGCAGGATGTAGAGGACCTGGCTGAGTCAGAGGATGAGTCCGATGATGAAGGAGGCATGCACTTCAGTCCCATTAAGGTAATATAGTACTTCATATGAATTATGTCATTCTTGATAGTATCCAGTGACAACACGGAAGCTAATAATGAGCTATCTCTGTTGGAATCAGTCATCTTCACCTTAAATAGATGACCAAGCCACGCTCATTTTAAAGTGTGCTCTGCCTCTGAGTCCACTGTACAGTGGATCGAGATGGTGTAGTTGTTTGCGTAATTTTAATGAATGTTGTGTTGCAGCTGACCTCAGGAACACTTAATCTTACTTTGCAGAATTATGGATCTGAGGGGTTGAAGCTTGTGGCCCTGGAGGAGACTGTGTCTTTTGGTCAGTCTGTTCTGAAATTAACTTTTGACCCCGGTTCTCCAGAGGCTGGACTTATAACTGCTGAGTGCCAATTGGATCATCCATTTTATGTGAGGAATAAAGGTAAACAAATGCAATTGGTGTCAAAATTATGACTTATAACTGATTTTTTCAAAGATTTTTTGCAAATACGTACCCTAAGTTAACAAACACTGTAACATTGGAAAGACTATAGACTTTAATGAGTGTGTGTGTATGTGTTGTAGGGTGGTCCTCCTTTTATCCGAGCCTTACTGTGGTGCAGCACGGCATCCCTTGTTATGAAATGCAGATTGGTGATTTGTGTCTGCCACCAGGACACCGTGATGCCATCAACTGTGACGACTCGACTGTTTTTGACACCTTCAGGAGGTGAAAAACTGTTTTTTGACTGCATTTTAGTTGTACAATATGTACAATGTAAGGATAATAGTAGTTGTACAAATGCTGTCTTATAAACAATAAGTTAGAAGTATTTAGAAGTGTGTGTGTGTTTGTGTGTGTGTGTGAGTGTGTATGTGTGTATATATATATATATATACACAACATGATACTTTGTGCAGATGGCTAAGGATTGCAGTTCTTTAAAGTGTGCGGTATGCATTTCACCCCACAGTTACGATTTTACCCCTCTGGACTCCTCTGCTGTGTATGTGCTGAGCAGTATGGCACGCCAGAGAAGAGCCTCGCAGTCTAGTGGGGGCACAGTGAGCCCAGACTGTGACAAACTGGAGCGATCTGGCTCCTCCCACCACTCCTCTAGTAGCAAATCACAGCGTAGCCACTCCTCAGGGAGCAGTGGAGCCACACCCACCAAATGCAAACGGCCAATGAACGCTTTCATGCTTTTTGCTAAAAAGTATCGAGTGGAGTACACACAAATGTATCCTGGAAAGGATAACAGGTAAGAATGTGTCAACAGTAGTAAAATATTATTTGTGAACTTATTTAACATATCCAGTTAATTTAGAAAACAAGCAAGTCAAGCATTTCTAAAACTGCAAAGGCTCCTTGACTGTTCATATCTCTAAACTGAATGCATGCATTATAAGATTCAAATGTGATGATTGATTTTTTTGGTAGCAATGTTCATTGTAAGACCAGTAAAAGGAATACTATACTTGTGCAAATGCTAGTATTGATCTGTATTTTGTTTTATAAAGCAGCAGCTCATATTTATTATCCTGACTTACAAACTGAAAAATCTACTGACACCAATAAAAACCTGTTTGCCTCTGTTTGCCTCCAGAGCCATTAGTGTGATTCTGGGTGATAAGTGGAAGAAGATGAAGAACGAGGAGAGGAGGATGTACACCATGGAGGCTAAAGCGCTGGCTGAGGAGCAGAAACGCCTCAACCCTGACTGCTGGAAGCGCAAGAGAACCAACTCGGTGAACACCTCTATTGCACTATCCTTTTTGAAATAACAAGATAAAGTGATCTACTGATTTAGTTGTTAGAGTACTTAAATATAGCTCTCAGTGGACAAAATGGACAAAAGCAGAGGTATTCTTCCGTTTTCATTTGATTTTTTAAAATGAAACATGAAAATTTGCATTTAGCTATATATTAATAATCTAACTGTTTAGATTTAACTTGTAGTTAACCCCACAGCTACCTGAGTACAAAAAGCCTACACAAGTGAAGAGATCAAAAGCTCTCGACACAGTCCTGGAGAGTTTGGTGATCAAATATATCTATAAATCTATCTAATATTGCTCAACTCTTCAGTTCAATAGCAGATGTAGCTGGTGTATTAGAGTAGGGAAATCACCAAACTGCCCAGGACTCCAGACCTCTAGGACCAGAGCTGGACACTCTTTATATAGATGTAAAATCTTAGTGGTATGAAGTGTTGCTATTTGTTTATTTTTTTATTTTTTTGTCTTCTCAGGGCTCTCAGCAGAACTAGCCTGAGGAGCGTCGCAGACTTATAAAACTGGACAGAGAGAAACCGACCTATAGACTCCACCTATCTTGCCTTCACCTATAAGAGTGATGGGGCTTAACTGTGATGCTAAAAAAAAAAAGAAATAAAAAAAGAAATAAAGTGATACAACTTCAAGTAAAAGGAGATAAATGAGGTAAATAAGATATAAACAATATAAAAACATATAATCTAGTAAACTAACAGTGCTTATATTTTTTCTTGTCTTTTCAAAAATTATGGAAATGCCTTATTCTTCCAAAGTAAGAAAACGCTCAGTTCTTCTTTCAGGTAATTTCATATTTCTAGGCTTGAAAGGTGAGACCCTGTGGTGCTATTTTAGTGAGGGCGAAGGAGCAGTATATATGAAAAACAAAGTCTATTTTTAAATGTAAAAAGGGGAATTTTAGATGTTAGCTAGCTTGTTTTCAGCTGTTCATATTAATTATATTTGTATAACTCAATATTGCACAGACTTGATGTATTGCAAATGGACGAAAACTGTTGAATTTCATATTCGTCAGTGATCTGGGAAGGGTTTTATTCTGTAGACACCTATCCAGCCTAGACCATATACTGTGTGTGTGTGTGTGTGTGTGTGTGTGTGTGTGTGTGTGTGTGTGTGTGTGTGTGTATGTGTGTGTGTATGTGTGTGTGTGTGTGTGTGTGTGTGTGTGTGTGTGTATGTGTGTTTGTTTGTTTATGTTTGTCTGTGAGAGAGAGAGAGCAAGTGAGAGAGAGAGTGAGCGAGCGAGCGAGCAAGTGTGAGTATGTTTGTGCACCATCTAACCGGCCATATTACAGTGTATATCAGGCTACTACACACACACACACACACTCATAGACACACACACACTCAGACGAATACATTTACACACAGAGACACATTCTCTCTCACACAGCACTTCAGGGCCATGCCTTCACTGTAAGTGTTTTTGTTTTTGCACTTTATATACATACATAACCTTATACAACCAGTAAATGTATACAAGCTGAAAATTGTGTATAAAATTATATATATCTTGCTAAGATATATTCTCTGACACAATCATGGCCAAACTGTATAGGTTGTTTTGTGCTTTGCAGGGTTGCCATTGCATTGAAAAAAAATATGAAAAAGTAATTAAAAAAATGTTGTTGATAATGTACAGGTCCACGTTCCCATCCAGTTCTTGCACAAAATTATTCTTGTATCATATTATAAATAAAAATTTTAAACTTTCTGTCTGTTCATTTTTTGCTTTGCTTTGTTGCCATTTATTATCACCAAGCCACAGTCATTCAACATACTACTATAAGACAGTGAGCAATAACCCTTTGCAACATTCTTGTAACCATGGTAAAAAACCATTAGGGCTGTGCCTTCAACATACGGTGGTACTATGAGAGGAGACTGTGGTTGAGGGAGAGGAGAGAACTCTGAGAATTTGGCCTGGAGTTTCAGGCAGCCTCTGCTTGGAGCTAGGAGGCTGAACCCACAGTGGTAGCACTGTAAAAACTTTGTGATGGGAAAATGAAGGTAGAGATGGGAATTTATAGGGTATTATACTGGAAGGAGGAGGGGTTTCAGTCGTGGTCCTCCCCTGAATTTCAGTTTGTCCGTAACCCCATATGGTGTTAAAAGCTGCATGTTGTGTAAGACCAAATTTCCTTGCTTTCTCATGCATTTTATGTAATGTGTAAACATAGTCAAAGTTACAAAATGTACCATTCAGCACCCAGTCCATTTAGTACATATCGTCACTGTCCAAAAAAAATGACACAAGTATCTCCAAAACAGTAACTTTACAGGAAAACGCAAAACGTTTTTAACTTTTAATGTAGGTGAACGTAAAAAGATTTTATTCCAATTCATGTTGTCCATTCATCATGAACTTTTCACACAACATAAAGGACAGCGACTGCATTCAAATAGTGTAAAAAAAAAGGAAAGGAAATCTCTATTGGGGAAAAGCATGGCAAATTAAGCTGCAAAAACAGTCTGTTTTGAATGAATAGTTTTGTGATGTCACAAAAAAGTATTTGCATACCGACCTATACAGCCTACAGTTTAGTGCATTCATGTTGAAGTTGTAAAGGGTGAAACTGCTGTTTCCAAGAGACACAATATAGGGCAGCCAATGAGAATAGAAAAAAGTTTTAAAGACACAGTAACAAAAACAAAGAAAAAAAGAGGTTGGAAATGGTTATGCAAATATGTGACTGTTTTTAGTACATAAAACCAAACAAAAATAGTTTTCTGGGAAATAATACACAAGCAAACAAGCAAAATATAGGCTATGGCTCTTTAAGGAAAATTTTACCATTCCATCCTGTTATCAGTTGGACTACAAGCACATTATTCTTCATTCCTCTCAGCTAATTCTAACAATAGATTCACAATAAGATAGTGGTGTGTGTGTGTGTGTGTGTGGTGTGTGTGTGTGTGTGTGTGCTTAGCTGTATTTCCTCTCTCCTCAGTGATGTCAGCATCTTTTGATCTGCTGTGCAGTGTAAGGGTCGGGGCTGTCACTCTCATTAGTGTGGTGACCGTTTCCACAGGAACTTCAACACATCAAAACAAATATGCACATAGAGAATCTAATCAGTGTAAGGCTCTGAGGAGCTGGGGGGCCTTCTGTTGGGCTCACTGTGCTTTGAAGGCTTTAATTAAATCTTTACCCCGCAGTAGACCTCTCTCTAAAGAACAAAAGTCCACCAATTAAAAATGAAGTAAGTCACGGAGGGGGAATTGTTCAGCACAAAGGCTTTCATTTAACATCGGCAGGTTCCTTTTATTCACATGGCACAAAACCAGTCTTCAGAGAAACAGTCGCATCAATACTCAGAGTTTCAGAAGCTGTACAGTTCTCTGTGTCTGCAGCCACACACCACCCTCAGCTGGCCTGACGGGAGACCATCAAGCAATATAAAGGATGCCACCTTTTTTGCCCGAAACCTTTTTTCTTCATGTTAACATGACTGAACAACCCCTGTGCCGGCTGAGTGGACAGGAGTCAAATTAAAATCGAGATGAATTCAGTGCTCCTGCCTTCAGCTTCTCTTTGTGCTACACCATCATGGCTGCCAGGGGGCGCTACAACAACACTTTCTCTGACTGTGTTTGAGGCTGGAAATCAAGCAGTCCATATTTTATCTACTGTCTAAGTAGTTGCTGGTAAAACTAGCACTGCATGAGGAGTTTCAGGAGTTTGCAGTGTGAGGCGTGTGAAAATGTTAACACAGTCATTTGGAACTGGCAGCACGTTTATGTAATCAAGCGGAAAACACTGAAAGACAGAAGCTGAACACTCAATAGGGTTTTTTGGTAAAGAAAATAGTTATATATAGAACCATGAACACTCAAAGAACCCTTTGCATGATTAAATGGTTCTTTGCATCATGAACAGGCTCTTCAGATTGATGGAGAATGTGATGTAGATGGTTCAATAAAGAATCTTTTTGAAAATGATACTATGTAGCACCCAAAAGGGTTCCTCTATTGTTACAATGTCAAGCTTGTAATAATAGAAAAACCCTCTCGGGTGCCACATAGAACCACTTTCGAAAAGGTTTTATATAGAACCATCTATACCACATTCATACACATTTTCCATTAATCTGAAGAACCCTTTCATGATGCAAAGAACCTTTCAATCAAGCAAATTTCTTTCTTTGAGTGTTCATGGTTCTATATATAACCTATTTCTTTACCAAAGAACCCCTGAAGAACCATCTTTCTTAGGAGTGAAATGTTTAGACTAGGGGTGAGCGAGAACACTCATTTTCTTTTCCTTCTGATACAAATATCAAGTAACATCAAGGCTAGAGTTCCCACATGGATACTGCCAAATGTCTTTTGGGGAATTCTTCGTGATTTCTACAGTGAAAAGTAGTAAATCATCAAAAATGACATACCTTCAATTCCAGGAAGCCCTTAGGGAAAATTCACATGTATTTTACATGTGAAGTGTGCAGAAACCATGTGTTAACAAGTAATCACGCATTTTTTCACATGTAGACATTTTCATGTGTGATCACATATTTTTCACATGTGAACACAAGTTTCTCCACATGGGATAATACATTTTTAACATGTGTGCAAAAACCACATGAAATTCATGTGACTTTTTTGTATGGGAAGTTGGGACAATATGTGAAAAGCAAGTAAAAACAGAAAGCGGTGAACTGTAAATCCACTTTGACCTGTTATGTAAATGAAAAGAGTACAAAGACAAGGTATTTATGTTTAAACACAGCAACTTAAAATGAATGTTCAAATGAAATTCAAATATGAAATTCATATGAATTTTTCTAAGGGCAAGTTCCAGAAAAGTTGTCATGGGGAAATTTAAGACTAGGTACATTGTGAAATATTGAAAAAAAAAATCTTGAAAGGTTATTCAGTCATGCTTGGGCATAAAAGGACCATTCAGGAAAGGCCTCATCCTGTATGGGTAAGGAGAAACCTCTATGTGTAGGAAAAAGCCTAAAACTGTAACTGAATGCCTGTGACCTTCGACTCCTCAGACCGGCATGCTTCAATGATGGATATCACCGCATGGGCTCAGAAATACTTCGACAAACCGCCATCAGTAAACACAGTTCATCGCTGTATCCACAAATGTCAGTTAAGACTGTACTATGCACGGTGGAAATCCTATGTCAACAGTGTTCAAAAACACTGCCGACGTTTCTGGGCTAAAGCTCATCTTAAATGGACTGATGCACAGTGGAAACAGGAATTGTCATCTGACGAGTCAACCCTTCCGACTGTTTATCAAAATAATGGACATTATGTTCACTGGTCCAAAAATGTAAAGGACAATCCAAATTGCTGCCAGGGCTACAGGGTCTGTCATGGTATGGGGGGCGTTGGCGCCCATGGCTTTTAAAACTGGATCAGTTGGTGTCTTCTTTTCCCAAACAGTTATTTAGTGCTGAAATGTAATGTTGCACACTGGTAAATATGATCCTGTCCTGACTTTTTGGAATGTGTTGCAGGCATTAAATTTGTAATGAGTGTATAAAAAGCAATAAAGTTCATAAGGCAAACCTCAAATATTGTGTTTTTTTTTTACTGTTTTCTATTTTAATACAGGTCAAACAAAATTTGCTAATCACTGCTTTCTGTTTTTATTAGCATTTCACATACTGTTC